ACTCTTACTGGTGTAATACTGTCACACTCTTACAGTTGACTGTTGAATTATAATGTTTTTGTCATATTACTGCCTTTGGGTGGCCTGCAGGTTTTTGTGTTTGTGTGGTTCTTTGTAAATCCTTAATCATCAGAACTGATGGTCAGAATCAAAGCATTCACATTCATGTGGAATTCACAGACATTGACGTCATCCATATTTTCTGTTGTGTATCAGACAAAAAGGGCAGGATGGCTCATTCCCACAGTGCCTTGACGCTTTTCATTCCTTCTTAACAGAGCATTTCTCAGATCAGTCACTAGAGGGCGGAGTGAATTAAATTGTGTTTGCAGTTTTAGACATTCTTTTCTGTGTTTTGAGTTTGTGATGATGTGTTGGATGACACACACGCTTGAATTTACGAACATCATTATATATGTGATACACTAATAAGTATTATCCCTGAATTACCACAAATCAACATGAAAATGTAAAAAATATGCATTTTCAGACACTGTTTACTCATTGATATAATGTGTAATAGAACAGAGAGCATAAGGAGTATGGTGTTACATACATGGGTACCTCCAGCAGTGCACTGATAATGAGAGTGTGAGGTCCTTTTGATGCATTTCTGCTTCCTATATTCTCACTGAGTTAAGAAGCTGTTTTCTCACCATCCTGAAAATGGTTGTAGGTATATCTTCTACTGGCTCAAAGACAAGAGCAGGAGTTTGTTTTTTGGCTGATCAGAGACTTCTTACAGTAGTAATTAGTTGCAAACAGGACAGACAGCATTGATAGTGGGACTATAGGGCAGACGCAGACACAGGACCCCGAGACATGCTGAGGTCACCGTGACTTACACTCAACGCCCTCCATCTCTGTGACTCATCCTTGGCCGTAAATTATTTTGACTCCGAACAGGAAATTGCCTTCTTGACGTCTTGCTAAACGTTTGTGCCGGTGTCCTGCTGCTTTTTCCCGGTTGACATTTCAGCTGCCTGCGATGATGTGAATGCTTTGCCCCCCCCCCCGCCTCCCCCCTGCAGAGATTCACAGGCCGCGATGAGATCTCACCTCTCTCCCGGTCAGGAGACAGCAGAAAGCCACATATTTCTGGTGCTCACCACCTGCTGGATGAAAACATCTCCCTGCTCAGAATGAACAAATTATTTCATGTGAACCAGACAATGCTGGTCACGTTCGAATGAAATAGTCACTCTCGAAGTGTCGTTCTCTGCAAGGCCGCTTTAGTTCCCCTTGTCAAATTAATTACATTTTTCTTTCAGGGAAATGAATTAACCTGTATGACAATACAATCACGTAATTATTTACTGATATCTGAGATTATCTAGCTGTAGGGAATCAGGTAGAAAACAGGTGAACAAGTGTAACAACCAGGCTTATCGAATTGTATCTAAAGCTCAGATAAGGTCATAATCGACGCTCTGATTCATCACAGCGATATGAAGGGCTCCCATTGAACTAGAGAAGTACTGCTGCTGGTTTCTCTCTGTCTGAGTGACCTGTCACAGACAGAAAGAGGACACGGCTGAAATGACCTTCAGTTGTGAGGGTGCCTCACTGAAACACTCACATTTAGTTGAGATTCACATGTTCTGCCATTAGCTGATTCAACAACAATATATCCAGAGAAGCTCAGGTTCAATGTCAGTTCAAAGGTACAACTGCAGGGATCCAGAGAAGCGGCTCACATGGAAATGTAAGTGATCGCTACATCCCCCACTCCCCTTGGGCTGCTTCCTTCGTAATGAAAGTATAAATAAATCGCAGGTGCCATTTCATAATACCAGCACTGCTTTTGCCTTTTATTTCTCTATAAATGTTTATCCTGTGACTGCTGGTCCCTCCCCCCCAGTCTGATGAAAATGGTTGGATATCCAGAGGGCAAATTGAAAGAGCACAACATGAGTAATTTCTGCAGAGGAGGATAACAGAGAAGAGCAAGAAAAGGTGGAATTTCAAAATGTGTTTTTAATTAAGGGAGGCAATCACCTAATTATGCATGCAAAGATAGCACATGTGTGTCTTCCATGTGCAGTTTCCATGGTAACTGAGCCAGGCATGCCAAGGAGCGTCTCGACATCCTGCCCCTCTTTGAGCTGAAACCATGCGGAGAAGCAGTCAAAGGGAGCCTCTGTTCTGTGTTTTCACTGATCCACCACATTGGGGAGTCAGTGGTACCACTGAGGAACACACACACACACACACACACATGCATACAACATATCTGTGAATTAGTTTCCATGACAGCAGAGTGATTTTTACATGGAAAGTGCCTTGGGTTCTTCTTGTAGTTTAACTGCAAAGTGTGAGAATGTGTTACTGATGCATGTACAGTACCAGTCAAAAATCTGGACACATCCACTCATAAAAAGGCTTATTTGTACCATTCTTAACATTTTAGAATAATTATAAAGGCATCAAAACTATAAAATAACATATATGGGATTATACACTGACCAAATAAGTATTATAATATACACATACACACACACATATATATATAATTTTTTTTGTATTTTTTTGGAGGGGTGGCTTTATGGGTTGGGACTCAGAAGGTTGCTGGGTCAAATCCTATGATCAGCAGAGTGATGCCACCGTTGGGCCCTTAACCCCAATTGCTTCAGGGACTGACTGACCCTGCTGTCGCCTCTATGCCAGTTCCATGAGGCGGCCTCCTGGGACGCTTTTCCAGCTGTCCTGAAGGAGGTCCCACATATATGCTGAGCTCTCATTGGTCACTTTTCCTTCACAAAACCATCTCTACTGTGTCTAGGTCAGGTGGCCAGGACATGTGATGCAACACAATCACTCTCCTTTATAAGGGGCTTGGTGTGTCCAAACTTTTGACAAGTACAGTATGTGGGGCTGCAGTCACAAGAGCTGTTTGATCGTGGTTTGAGGTGTGTTTCACTGCCACACAGCTCACGTTAATCCAGACTCAACCCTCAATACCCCACTGACTTGACATACAGCTCTACTTATCACTGTTATCTTCTGTGCACCTGCTGAAACCTCTTATTTCTGTTAGGTGTGCTTTTCAGAGCTGGAAACTTCAGGTTTAGAAAGGAGAAATCCACACCAAGATTTTGTTTCAACCAACCAGTTGACTATAAAAAGTCATGTTCACAGAGTACTCAACTGGTTGGTTGAAACAAAATCTTGGTCTGGATTTGTATTTTCTGAACTTTCCACCTCTGGTGCGTTTATTAAATTGTGTCCTCCAACAAATGAGCAGAGACATTTGAGACAGAGATTCTAACTACTCATTCAACTTTCAATGCAGTATTTTTCAATAATGGTGAGGAAGTTTTTCTTATGGCAAACGAATGGCCTACACAGTAGTTAAATGTAAAAATGAAAATACAAAGCAAAGAGGGGAGTTAATGGGAATTTTTGTGAACCAAAAAACGTTTCCGTCTCCTTGAGAATGATGATCAGTTGCTTTGCAGAAAGAAACTTATCCAGAGGAAATGAATTCCAGGGCTCTGATTCATCACATGAGAAGTCAGAAAATTCCCACGGTGATATTGCAGCTCCAACAGGCCACAACCTCGTCGCTATCGTGTCCCATTTCAACATGTTCTGATGGACTGAGTCCCAAAGCAGGGGCAGCAGTGTCCCCCGCAAGGTGGAAAACAGCCTAACCACATAAATCACACACGGCTACACCAGGGCCTGCCAATTGGTACAAGGCCACTAAAAGGCATATTTATGCAGGTTTAAATCTGGGCTCAGGTTACAGTGATCTAAATGGTGTATAAGAAAACTACCTTTGATACATCCACACAATCACAGGCAGGATAACAATTGGGCCACACTTTGCTAAATTATGATGGATTACCATAGTGCTTTGCAACTGGAACAGCTTGTTAAGATCCCACACGTGTGACTTCCTAACAGAGAAGTACTATTCTTCTATATTAATTTGGGGGCATGCATTGACTTTCATCACCAACTTTGGAGGCATTTGAAAGGTGAGGGCACAGTGTGGAGCAGAAAACAGTGGTGGGTGGGGCCCAAGGAATGTAGTGGAGCTTCTTAAGATTGACTACTGTTGGCCTGCCTGGTCAGCTGCCATTGGTTGTCTGTCAGCCATCCCTCCTGCCTCACTGTGCTTAACGAGCCCTGAAGTCTGGTCTCTTTATGGAGCCCACACACCAGCAGCCATTCGCAATGCATAACCTCCCTCAGACCCACCTTCAGAAGCACCTCCCTGTCAGAGCTTGTCTCACCGCCATTGCGTGTGCCAGCCGACCTTCAAGCACGCTCACGCGATGACAGATTGATTGGCACCCCCTCTAAAGAGACAGATGCGTGAAAAAGGATGGTCTCAGCAAAATTCTGCTGACAAATAAATTGATTCTTTGCCAGACATATGTTGCTGTGGACAGGACTGTCCAGTAAGCAATAACAATAAACAATGAAAGATAAGGGTGTCTGTGATGAGGTGATTTACTGTGTCACCTAGCCCTACTGGACAAACAGTGCTGAAACCCCAAACAGCTCCAAGGGAGGGGGCAATGACACAGCAAAACATAAGACTCACAGCACAGATCATGTGCAACACCTTAATAAACACTTATTTGTTTTTTTTTATTCTCCTCAAAAGAGATCTGTGTGTGATACAGTAGTAGACAGAGATAGGCAAAACTCTTTGGCCATTCTGTATGCTCGACAGCATGATTAAGTTGTTCTGGAAAACTTTACTGGGGTGGCAAGTCGAGGTTCCTTACTATAACGCACACAGATGTTCGCGGAGTCCATATAGCAACCCTACAAAAAGTTTTAGCCGACATCAAGGATTCATTTGGTAGTCGGCATTCATGATGTCATGAGATTTTCTCTCAGCCAAAATATCTTAAGGTCAAACACGTGATTCTTAGTCACTGGCACCGTCTGTTTTAAAAAGAATTCACAAACATAATCTTAAAATTTTAATTTCCAGTACGAATTGTTAGCAAGTGCAGGTGGCAGCATAGTGCCTGTAAAGAAGACGAAGAAGAATACCGGAAGCACGGCCATTTTCCCGGAAGCCAGTAGAGCTGTTTTGTTGCCAGAGGGATTGTTGTGAAAATGGCGGCGTCTCGTCGCTCGTCTCAGCAGCAACAGCAACAGACCCTGTCGTCTCCTCCTCGGAGCGCCTCCCTCTCGCTCACCCCTCCGGGCTCTCCTCCGGGACCTGTGGGTGCAGCGATCTTGGCTCCTGCGGGCGCCGAGCAAGACGGCGGCGGGGATTCAGAGGTAGCCCCGGCCTCCCCGGACCTGCCCGCCCCGGGCCTCAGCGGCAGTGGTAGCAGCGGCTCCAGTGGCTCTAGCTCCACCGCGAGCGGCGGCTCGAGCCCGGACTCGGGCGGCTCCAGCCCGGGGGCCGGCGGCGCTTTTCGGGAGCTCTTCGAGGCCTGCCGCAATGGGGACGTTTCCCGGGTGAAGCGGCTCGTCGACTCGGTGAATGTGAACGCCAAGGACATGGCCGGCCGCAAGTCCACCCCGCTGCACTTCGCCGCAGGTCTGCACCGCGCTCCGCCGTCGGGGGGTACGGGGGATTGGATGGGGGCAGCGATGGCTGCAGGTTAGCTGGATGGGTAACCGTGTTTACGGAGTGAGGGCACCTCGCCTGAAAATATTGTTATTGTTATTATTAATTTAAATGAGGACCGAACCGCGTTATTTTATTCCTTTGCTGTTATTTTTTACATTTGTTTATTTGTTTTGGTACCGGTGCACTCATATTAGAAACGGCTCTCCGTTTATTTTTACAGCACGAAATAACACAGAAACACCATAACGCAAAAACACTGTGTAAAATAACGCGAAATGACGCTCCCCGTCTGTCAAAGACATAACGGCGTTTCTGTAAAACGTGACAGATTAAATCCGTCAGTTTAGGAATAACCGGGTCCGCATTCTTCCGTATTTGCTGTAGTTTAACAGTGTTACACGGGCCCGGCGCATTATAGGTATGTAAGCAATGTGCAGCTTTATACAATCATGCCATGCAATGATATAAAACACGCCTGGCTCGGTTCGGTAATGGTACTGTGAGGATGACGGTTAATACAACTGTATACCGTGCTAGTGTATTTCGACAATTGTGTTCTCCGTTTGCATTTAATGTGTTTTAAATAAAAATTTGGCGTATGTATGAAATTAAGATATGACTGTTGTAACTGATTTAACTACACCAGGAGGATTATGCGAAATCACGGCAACACGGTCACTTTTGGTACAGGCTTAGACATTACGACCCGTGAACTAAGACAAGATAAAAACAGACTCGGCGAATCTCAAACTACTTTAAAACTACTGCATTGGGATGAAATGCAAAGCTATTGGGCGTTTTGGCAACGAGATTTCGGAAGTTTCAATATAAGCTGCTCTTGTGTGATTGATGTTTTTGGCTCGTTAATTATGGATTCGAACTATAAATTTGGCTGGATTCCTCAAAGGACATGATAACCACAACTGGATTTCACTATCTTGATGTGTTCAGGCATTTCTCTGCACAGGGACTAGGCTGTACGCATAAATAATGTACATGTAGATACGTACATAGGAATGTTCTTGTAATGTATATCAGGACTGGAATTTGGTGAATTAATGTTCCCGTGACTGTTCATATTAAACAGGAGAACTTATGGTCCTCTTTTTAAAAGGCAGTGCAAACATGCTTTGGTATGAATATTTCAACAGGATGTCGTAAAAGCCCTTATGCACTTCAGAACGTCTTTGAGGCCTTAAAAGAACCATATTTAGCCAGCTGTATATAACATAGACACATTTGGCTCTGAGCTGGAGTTTTCCCTGTGAACATCATGTAATCCTCTTGAGAATACATTGGCTTGGGAATGCTGAAATCAGTCTGCCAAAGATTGCTAACGTTGGTAACCCATATCATCAGTTCGGGAATAGGGATTATTAACACTTTAAAGAACTAGTTTTGGTAGCTGTGTGGCTTAGTTTTTTTTTTTTAATCAAAATGGTGTCTCTTGTGCGATCTGTAGTAAAATAGGGCTAGTGATGGGTAAACCTGTTGTTTGCCTCTGGTAAAGCCTGCTGCTTTGTGTTTGCTTTCTGAAGTCACCATTTGCCTCTTGGTCCCTGATCCTTCAGGGTTTGGCAGGAAGGACGTGGTGGAGCACCTCCTGCAGACGGGCGCCAATGTGCACGCCCGCGACGATGGTGGGCTGATCCCGCTGCACAATGCCTGCTCGTTCGGCCACGCTGAGGTGGTAGGCCTACTGCTGTGCCAGGGAGCAGACCCAAATGCCCGCGACAACTGGAACTACACACCCCTGCATGAGGCTGCAATCAAAGGCAAAATCGACGTGTGCATTGGTAAGCGCTTCCCCTGGAAACGCAGCCGTGCGCTTGGTTCCATGTCGCACTGGATGCCCCCTGCGTTTATTTCATTCTGCATCCTTCATTGAGTCTTTTAGCATCAGTGCTTTTTTCATCACTGTTTCCCAGGAGCCTAGCATGTCTGACAAGACTTTTTGCGCTTTGTGGTAGTAGTTACCTATTGCAGCTTTGGTTTAATTGGATGCATTTTAATCAGCATTTGACTGAAGCTTAATGTTCACTCTACTGATGATGATGATGATAATAATGATAATAATAATAATAATAATAATAATAATATAATAATAATAATAATAGATACTTTACTGATCCCTGTGGGGAAATTGTCTTTACGCCTCCCTCAGCTTGCTCTCTTTCGTAGAGTAGGTTGTCTGTGAAGGGCAGCCACCCTTCACAATACAACAATAACAACAACACATTTCATTTATATAGTGCTTGGATCACAAAGATGCTTATATAGAATAAAGTAAACATAACAAAACAACAAAGCGTATTATGGGTAAGGAACATTAAAGGCTTGAGCAAATGAAAAGGTCTGTAACTTGTGTTTGAAATCTGAGACCGAGACAGATAGATGAATGACAGACAGACTACTGTTGGACTGCTACCATTGTGGTAAAATGACGCATCTCCTTTTCCCAGGGCTCTGAAGGGATTTTCTATATTTATATACAGTACTGTGCAAAAGTCTGAGGCAGGCAAAGAAAATGTAGTGTTTAAATGGTCTTTGTTTGTGTAACAAATATGATGATATGTCTGTAAAAGCGCGTTAACTTAGCCATTTCAAAACCTCTGCTGAAGTCGGCCCTCTATTTGCAGCAACCATCCAATAACTTCACTAATTAAGTTTATTAATTATTTGAGCTCATGGTGAAATTTAACAAATACATGGAATGGCTGAGGTGCCCCTGAGCAAAGGTTTGGGAACTAAACCTTCCATCCAACAAGGATCCAACTATATTTTTGGAAAAACAAAAGGATCTCTTGTTTATTCTTTGTGTTGTGGTTAATTTGCCTAATGTTAAATTGTGCTGCCATTTGAGTAGATATACAGATATACAGCTTTAAACATTTTCTTTGACTGCCTAAGAATTTTGCACAGTACTGTGTGTGCAAATGTGGGTGTATGTATGTATATGTGTGTATTTGTATATGTCTGTATAACTAATGAAACAAATTGGCTAATCATTGGTGTCAGAACAGACTAAACATATGTGACTTGTCCTCATGCGTGGTAATGAATGACTCCTGCTTTCTTGGCATACCTCTGTATTTTCTTGTCGTTAGTCTGCATTTAAGGCATCGGCAGAGGGCTCGTCTTACAGCTGCACCGTCGGTGTGGGGACCGACCTTCCCTATGTGCCTGTTTTCTGTCTTTGCGCTTTATCTGATGTAATTACCCAGAAATTCAAATCTGTTCCGGAACCGTTTCTATTCCTGAGGAATGAGGTTCTGCCATGAAAATAATTGAATTATTGTCCCTCAAGAGTGTCTGCGGTTGTGACGGTCTAGTCCGGTTCCTTTTATGATTTACAGACACTGTTTTACTGTGTTTGATTTGTTTTTAGCCCATTCACCACAGTTTACGTTGCGGAATGCATCATATGATGTGGTGCCTTAGTACGGCAGTTGCAGCGTCTGTGGTCAGCACAAGGGGTCTAAACCAAAATATGAACAATTTCTGGAGCATAATTATTTTTTAATCTCCGAGGAACCTTAAGGAAAGTGAATGATAAATCTCTAGAGTGTATACCATGAGAGAAAATGAGCTTCCCATCAAACACACCAGATAAGGCATATTTTGGCCCCTTAAAATGGGACGTTTAGCCCACACGCATTATTCATTAGTGTCATGTTGAGCTTGGGTCGGGGGAGTAACTGCTTAAATGAGTGTCTCTTTACTCCGTGTCAGTCTCCGCGTAATTCGACCTGCTCTGTGTCATCTGCGCCTGCACTTGTGTCCTGCCGCCGTAGGTGGGCTTTTCAGCTGCAGGTTGGGATGTCGGTGGCGTCCCGCGTTCGTCCGCCGGGGCTGAAATACGCCCACCTGGTAGCTATTCTGACAGGCTCGCCAGTAGTTTGCAGTGCCCGCTGGGCTGCTTGCTCACTGGATTCAGTCGAAATGTCGGGGGTGTAATGATGCCCTTCTTTTCATTTCCGCTTCTCCATTGTTGCGTGTTATTTATTTGTTTGATGTGGGCAAACGCCGCTCCTCCTCTTTAACCGCCGCGGGCCGCAGTCCCACTGTGGGTGTCCTGCCGCCGCCCCAGCTGTCAGAGGAACCGCTAGGCCCAGTTTCGGCTGCCGACGTCCATGTTCTCCCTAATAAATCACAGAATGGAGCAGCAGGGGAGGGCCACAGAACATCACGAAGGACGACCTCGCTGCGTGCAAGGTGACTGCCCCAGTGCTACTCCTGGTCCCTCTGAAAGCGGTGCAGTGCTGTCACAAACACCTCACACAGCTGGCAGTGAGTCTGTGATTTTGGAAGCTCTCACTGGATGACTTCAGAGGCACAGGCCCACCGAAGAACCCTGCGCTTGATCTGACACCCACCCGATCACGGGAGAGGATATTTTATCAGATTCACCATGTCCTGTGGCGCTGTTAGAGGGAACGGTGATGACAAATGTCTCTTAGCAACATAGGGTCGCATTTGCCTTTTCAAAAATATCTCTAGTAACAGTGGAGTTTGGAGTGGGGACCTGGCATACTCTAGTGACGGGAGCGCAGCGCGTACCAGCCGGGAGGGGAGTCCTTTTGGAAGAGAGCGGCCTGTTGGCAGGCAAGGGCTTGGATGTGTAGACGCTCATTTTCACTAACCTGGCTGTGCCATTCCTCTCAGCCGTATTGCGTTTATGTGAAGTATATCCAGCACTAGCAGATTTTATTATTTTATTTTAACTACACTGTGGGGGCTGTTTGGACAGCATTCTGCCATTGTACTGTCTCAGGCGCTGCACCGTGTGGCAGGTCAGGCGCGCCGTGACAGCTGGGTTTTTGTTTACACAACCAGCCTCGGTTTTTTTGGATGGGGTACTGGTATTTCGGGGGGGGGGGTCGGCAGTAGCTTCAGAAAGGTATGGGTCACTTTGTCTCCTCCTCTACTAGCTTGATCTTATCCTATCTTGCTGAAAAGTCACCCCCCCCCCCCCCCCCCGTTTAAATAGTCGAAAGAGGGCCGCTGAGTCTCCCACCACGGCCCCCTCCGTTTGTTTGTTGTTCATGCAGGCCCTTCCTTGCTGATGCTAATGTTCAGGCTCGCTCTTCTCCATGTTTGCCTGTTTGCTCTGCCTGGGGGGGGGAGGCACGGGGGGAGGGGGGCACTGCTTTCTTTGTCTCTCTCTCTCGCTGCTCTCCACTCGCTTTTGCTATGGAATCTGCGTTTCATTGCCCCAAGGGCCCCGTTAACTGTGCTCTGGGTTACCACTTCTTCCATCATTGTCGTATGGTACACTGTGCTCTTGGCCTGTACCCCCCCCCCCCGCTCCAGCAGCATGATCTGAATGGATGATGCGGCTGGATCTCAAAGCCATTCAGCCTCTGCCCTGCTGGGGTCACGTCAAACCCCACGCAAAGGTGCAACGGCCGTTTCCCTCCAGGACTTTGCATGTATAATCCCAGCAGTGTGTGTCTTTGACATAAAGTCAAAGTCAAAAACAAATGAAATGAATTTGACCTCCTCCCATGAAAGCATATGAAAATGGAGCAAATCAGAAGTGTGGTGAGTGTTATTGACAACTTGGTTGTGAACCATCTGGCAGAATATGGGTCAGTGTTCTTTATGGTCTCTCCGAGCTGCCTGTCTCCCAGATACTTCAATTTCTGAGGTTAGGGGGGGCATTTAACGTCAGGTTGTGAGCGTGTACTAGGTGCTCTGCATTTGAAAAGGTGGGGGTGTGGGCTGTAATTACACCCTTTGCCTGGAGGTGTCCCTCACCCCTTTATTACTCAGACTTGGGGGCTGTTATGGGGGCCGGCCTTTGCATGCTGTGCCCGGCAGGCTATAGGTAACTTATTTCCCCAGCCGGACATGAGCCAGGCGGCTTGGATAAACGCTTCCCTCTTTACACCCTCTGATTGTTAATGACGGCTCTCATTAATGCGTAAAACGCAGCGCATGCGGCAGTGGTTGGCGCCGTGGCATGCTGCGCTGGTAGGGGCAGTGGAGCGTGGGATTGTGAGAGTAATCCGTTATCTCCGCATCTACTGTACCTGGTGGGTGGGGTGGGGTGCGTGTGACCCCTTGGTCATCTGCTCAGCAGGGCTGGTGGGGTGGCTGCCCATCCCATCCGCGTCGGGGACCTGCCTGTCTGCTTCTTTATATTTCTCTTGCGGCTCATTCCCAGACGAACAGGCCTTGCTGGGTCCTGACTCCCGTCCGGCAAAACCATCAAGGTCACCTGCCAGCTGGAAGGGAAAACTGGCCCCTGCTCCTGTCCCCCCCCCCCCACCAAGCCAGAGGTTTTAACCCGCCCAGTTACAGTTGGCTGTTTCTGTGCTGTTTTTGTCCCTGGATTGAGCCTCGCTGATGAGGGAGTACTTTAAAGCCTTTGCGTTCTTCCTGAATGTGTTACACAGA